AGTCGGGAATTTATGGCAGAAGTTCCTCTAAATTTCTGAATCTAAAGACTGAATTAAAGAAGTCTTCCCTTGGATCTAACATATTCGTTAGCCAGCGAGAGAAAGGATTTGAGGATTAGAGAATGGACAATCGGTTTCATCAAGAATGTATTTGTGTTCCAAGCACTTCGCTCCTAATGATTAAATTTAAAATACATTACAAAAATTACATTAGCACATTTTTTTTATTTTCTGCTTTTATTTTAAGATCCAAATTTTTGATTTAGTAGTTTATAAAAACTTTCACTCGAAAGGTTATACATTCACATTCAGTCTATGGAACATGTGTGAGGTGTTTTAAGTAGTTTTAAGAAACATATTACGTCTTTAGCTCATCTTGTTAATAATTTTATGCAAGCTTCAAAAATGATATCCAACGTGTCCATAAAAATCCCTATCTGGCCGTTATTCTCGCAACCATTAGTCGTGCTTCCAATTACAAAAAAGGTTTTAACCCTTTGCGGTTCCCAATGCGTACGATATCTTTCAGTGGTAAATTTGTAATGCGAGCCGTGTTCTTTCGCGCCCACTACGGTGCGTAGCTGGAATGCGAGCTGAGCTCCTTGATCACCATCGAAATGTTAAATGACGCAGGGATTAATGTTTTGGCATTTTTAAATTTAAAGACATAGATTTTTATAAATTACAATTTCCCCGGTCGCTATAGTTATATTTTAGAAAACTTCGTATTCTTATTAAAAAATAAAACACAAAAAGTTTAACTCTCGTACCGCAAATTTGACCGAGATGTTTAGTTTCAAAATCAGTTATTTTTGACGTTATATTCAGGGATTAGTTGGTTAATAAATTACGATAAATAGATACTAATTTTTGCTTCTTAACCTTTTCCCTTGGGCTATAGGGGCCAATTTCGAACGTATTATGGCCATTTAGTCACTTATTTTAAATGAAAGGAACAGAAAAACAAATGAACATGATCTTGCTCTTCCTAATCCATATTAAGGAGTAAATTTTAAATCTCCATAGTTTACTGAAATTTCTTAAGACACATTTAAAGTAGTGAAAGTGCGGGACATATATGTCCCAGCCCCCGGGAAAAGGTTTTAAATACCATTTTAATGATAGTGGCTTATGGTTTACTAGTGTCTTTAATTTACCATTTCGTTCCATTGATATGCCAAAAGATTTTTCACACAAATAAGCTGTAAATTTTGAAAGTTAAAAAATGTGTTATTAATATTCTCGTTAAGTTTTATTACTTTAGAAACATAACTTGTAAATCATACAAAAAATTCATTAGCGCACACATATTTTTCATTTTTAATTAATGCAAGTAATATTTCGAGTTGGCTACAAGGCCATACCAAGGTCTACCAGTGTTTTCTAGAACTCTAATTCTGTACGGTTCTGTGAGTCAGATCTTCATTTTGATAAAAAAATTATATTGCTACATATTTGTCACAATAATTTGCATAAAAATACTTGGTACGGTTTTATTTCTTTCTTCTTAAGTTTTATATTACATTAGATAATAATCTTCTTTTCCAGTGGAGACGATGCCTTCTAATGATTCATATATACATAAAAAGATAAATTATAAGACCTATATATATATATATATATATATATATATATATAGGTCTTATAATTTATCTTTTATGTATATATATATATATATATGAATTATGAGAAAACATATTCGAAGTAAAAAAAAAATCCATGATTACCTTCAGCATACAAAAATGTTTCTTTCTTTTTTAAATTCTTACTTCTCGCGTTTTATCTGAGTGAAAGCTTTTTTCAATTTTTAATTTCACGTTTTTAGACTCTGGTCTAATTTTGATTTGAAACTAGATCAGAAAATCACAGTGAAAATATTTTTACTCGTCTAACTGCAAAGGATGCTGCCATTTGTTAACATCTGAGGTGGTATTTACCAAATTCTACTAATTAATCACTAAAAGAGCAATGTGTTAATATTGAAAAATTAATGACATGTTATGAACATTGATGCGGCACAGGATCTTTTATTGCAACGTAAGCTCTTTTCTTTACCAGAAATATAATCGCTGGCATTAAAACACTGTTATCATTGTGGATGTGAAAGCAAAAATACGCATACTTAACATGATTGATCTAGCACTATTTGATTAGTTACTCATATAAAATTGGAAGTATTTCCATTTTGCTCTCTCATAAAAAACTGTTTCATGCACATGTAAATTTGCATTTAGTAAGGTTTTTCTGTATTTCTGTTTGACTTAATGCATATAATTCATATAAATATTTGGACTCCACCAGTGATTGAGCGGTTAAGACGGATGAATGCTGATAGTTCGATCGGCAGGTTGAGGTATTTTCTCTCTGCTTTCTGTATGCCTTCGTGATGTAATGGTAGCATACTCAGCGCGTATTCGAGAGGTCCAATTTCAAGTCCCGGTGAGGGCATTGTTCATTTTTCATGAATTCTGCTTCTAAAAAGGACTGGGACTGGACTGTCTCTACAAGAACTGGGACAGTATCTTTTCTGGTAAATAGGTAACTGACTATAACAGAATACGCTAAGGTGTTTTGCTATTACTAAAGGCACTGATAGGACCTTTATGAGAAAAAATTAACTGATATTATCTTCGCTTGTATATTAGAAGTCAAAAAACTCTCATACCTTCATCTTGCTTAAATCCCAGCTATTCTTAGATGAAATTACAAGTATTCAATATGTTAGCTATTCTTGATAGCTGTTCTTAGTCATTCACATAGTCTCGAAGACCACACATGTGGGGGTTGGAAATTTTCTTTTTGATGTTTATGAGGGCGGCTAAGATTAGTGTAGTTTGTTTCAGTTGTTGATATCTTATGTGATCTTATACCTCCTAACCTTCATCTGTAAATAAAGTAAATTAGATATGGAAAGAGATAAAAAATAATTTTCTTAGATAAATTTTCACACCTGTTTTTTGTAGGTTTCTGTATGGTGATCTGTGAATCTGTATTAAAGCGTTGCCAATCACCATATTTCTTGTATCATTTGAAATAAATTAGAAGACTAGAAGTTATAATTTTGAAGAAACTACGTAAATGGTATTCCAGTTTAACAAGTAAGATTTAGAAATTTGAACCCTTACAAAACCTGAACAAATAGCATAAAGTTGAGCGCAACGTGAATGACAGTTATTCAGAAGTAAACTTCTAAGTTCATTATATTCATTTTTGTTATCTCAATGTATCAGCTTTCTTACAATTCAGATATCAAATTATCACTTTGCTGCAGAATGTGCTGCTGCACCGGCATTCATATGAGATGGATCAAGCAAATACAAATGTGCAAAAATATTTTGCTCCTGTGTAACTTTATGTGGTAATTTAAAAGCAGCTCTGTGGAAACTGCAAAAGCTTGCACAGAGCTGCAAAAGCAGTTTCACACTCATTACAGTAAGTATTGTTCTCCAGCAAATATTTTATAAAGAGACAAATGTAGTGTTTATCTAACTGACGTATTTTGATTAGATTAAAAGCCATTATTTTTCAATAAGCCTTGTCGATTTGCTTAGGAGAAAATGGAAATAATGTCTTGGTTTTTCTCTATTTTGAAGTTTTAAATTTTAAGCTGATAAAAACCAGCCTAACAAAAATTATCATTTCTCAAGAAAAAGAAAATGGCTTGTTTTATTGTAAGATTAAAAATAATGTGTCATTAAACACGTATTTTTAATAATTTCTCAAGTACAAATATGGCAAAAATATATGGAAGTTTGCTGTTTTTTTTTTTTTTTTCTTTGAGTTAAAAGGGTGTGATTAAATATGAATATATACCAGTAGTTGCTTTTTTGCCCCATGCACCGCTTTCACCATTGCTAGATGATCATTCGCATCTTCCTTTCCAAATCTTGAAAAATACATATATACAGCTATTTAGATTATTTTCTAATGTATTTCATAAATTAAACAAAGAATGTATAGAAAATGTTGGTAAATGCCAAAAATTAAATAAAGTTAGTATTCTATATTCATAAACTAAAACTAAATACTCAACATCTATATAAAAGGTTGACCGCATTCCCCTTTCTCGTTTGGGAACCCCTATTATATACAGTGGATAAAAATATATACGGTTATTGAAATGAGTGTAGCCTGTACCAGATATTCATTTATGTAAGATGCTTGAATTTAATATTTATTAAGTTAGAATGCTATTTATGTTATGCAGATGTGAAGTTCCATCCTTCTTTTCTAATCAATTAAATTGCAGTGCTAACAGTATTTCAGTTTCTTTCTAAGTAGTATATGAGTACAAAATATTTAGAACTCTTTATTTCTATAGCTGTCTTCTTTACATTTAAAATTATTTAGTTTACCATAATCTTTGTTGTAAATGTATGCAATTATATTTTATGATGCTAGTAACTGCTTAATTTTATGAAACCATTTCTTAAATATGATAAAAAGAAAGATTCATTAGTCATTGAAAATTGAACAGTAGTACATATAATTGTTATTAGTGAACTTACTGATAAAAACATAAGGATATTGTAAGGAATGAAATAAGTAAGTTTGATAAATTAATTATGATCTGTATAAGAAAGTTTAAACTTCTCTTCTCCCTTTCTGTATGTGCCTTGAGAATTTACATTTATAGTAATTTCTTTCTGTTACTTAGTCTAGTGTCCTTAAAAATTGTACCCATTTAGTTATCTGATCTTGTGCATTCACAACCTGTAGGACAATATAAATATTATTCTTTGGATAATGTATGGAGTCCATGATAATAATTGCAAGTTCCTGTGCATACTCTCTGGTATCTTGACATCCATGCTATTTTGCATTATGCGACAGCAACATTTTCTTCACAAGTTGTAGAGGATAAGACAGAGACAAAATATATTCTGCTTCCTACCAGGATTTAAGAACACGCAGCAACATACTAGGTCATTTAGGAATGAAATACTAGCAGGCTTTGTTTTCATTTTTTATCTAATCTTTTTTGTAATTGAATTTTTCAGGTGCAGATATTAGCATCGGCTCGATGGAATCATTGTACCATTATTTCCCTCTAGTCACAATTCTGGGGTGTTTAATTGCACAAGGTAAGGAGTAAATTTTGTTAAATATTTTTTAAATTGAACAACTGTTTATTCGAAATACGTTCTTCTTTAAGTAAAGCCCGGAATTCAGTACATAAAATTAATTCCAAATACATTTTAAAATCAATGCTTAATGTAACATGAAATTACGAAAGAGGTATAATAATATGAAAATTATGTTATGTATAGTTAAAATAATTTCCTCTACTGCCTTGCATAATGGCTTTTTGAGAATTTTTAAGTATTATTTTCTCTGAATTTTCTGAAGGCTTTTATAAAATTAGTTTCAAGTTTAATGTTATTCTACTATTTTATTGAATGTATTTTAAAGTATCATTTATTATGTGTATTATTTCTGTTGGATTATAATATCCGCCGCTTAGCTTACAGCTGCTCTCCTCCTGACGCATGCGTAGAGTGACGCCATGATAACGCCATCTCTCTCTTCTGCTGTACGTATGTGTATATGTATATGCTATGCTTCGCTTTCTCTCCCGTGCGTACTCTGTCATTGTCCATCTATCTAATTAAAATGCTGACTAATACTACAGTTTATCTGGGCGCATTTTTCCTTCAGTTTCTGAGTTTTTTTTTTTTTTTTTTTTTTTTTGTATAAGAATATACAAAGAGTGTAAATGAAGATTAACATTCTGTATCCACATGTTCCATGTGTTGTAAATATAAATAACTGATGAGTACTAGTAATACTTTGAAAGTGGAAGCTGGAAAAAAACACAAGAAAGAAAAGGGGAAGAAAAGAAACTAAAAGTCAGTGGAAGTAAGGTGCAGTTCCATGAAGGGTAAAGTAACTCATCAGTAAGCCTTAATTATTCATTAGGCCATTCACTTATGTGCACTTTGCTGTTTTCTGCCACAATGCTTAAACTGTTTAGTAACAAGGATGAACAACATATCCCATCTTACGTTGGTTTGCAGCTGTTCTATGGCTAATGGTCGCGTTAAAGTTCAGCTTTTCGTCAAATGAGAGAAAGAATCAAGTGCAACTTGATATTCTGTTTTCCTGTTTCTGCAGAGATGAATCTTTCTTTTGCTAAAATTTACTCTTTTTGTTGAAGTTTTTCTTAATGACTTTTCAATTTATTTTGGTACACTTTCATCATGTAACTTCTGTTAATCGATTAAGCTCAGTAATCTTTCTGTAGCTGAGATTTATTATCCACAGTTTGCTGTAGTCGAAAACCTACTTTTTCGTTAAAGAAATTAGTGAATTACAAGTATACTTGCCCTCTCAGATAACCCATAACAGGGAAGTTTATTGCCGTCTAGATGTGTCCAGTACTGTTTTCTTTGTTTTCCCATAGCAGATTTGCTCATGACCGCAAATACACATGCACGAATGCAATGTTTCATAGCTTTTGCAGCATTTTAATTATTCTGTCATCCCTTGAAATTGTCGCCCATAGAGTATAGTGGTTAGGAGAGCCTACTGCGTTACCGAAGGGCCCGGGTCCGAATCCCAGAGAAGTCGTAGATGTTTATAAATGTATAGGGTCTGTGCAGCATGAAGACATTCTAAATATGCGGCGAACCGAAAGTCCTCTGGTGTGGCTTGGTGAAAGGGGAGAAGGGTAGGTAACACTCGGACTACACACCCCGGGTATCACTCCCTCAAAATTGGGGTGGAAAACAGAAATCTAATCTCTCTTTGGAGTAGGCTCTGGCAACCATTCTTCCATGTAATATGGATACGACAATGACATCCCTTGAAATTGCACTTGATTCATTGCTATACAGGTTCAGTGAATTTTTGAACGGGCTTTCGTTGATAATTGTTTTTTAATCGTTAAGAAAAATTTTCAGGATCCCTGTAGAAATTCAAACATATCAGAAAGAAAGTGTACAGAATCATGAACAATGCTGCTCATGGTAGTCTTTATTGCTACTTAAAGTAATCACTCTCCATGCATAAGTTATCAGGTGACTATTACTGCAGTTTTCCATGTAACATGAATAAAACATTACACATAACTTTGCATATTATACGCAGTTTTGATATAACTATGTTAGGAAAGACTGTATTACCTGCGGATATGGAATTATTACTGTACTTATATAACTGAAATCAAAGTTTCTAAATATCCTTCCTTAGTTGATGCATTTACTCTTTAGAGACTTTTTTTTTTTTTTTTTTTTGTATACCTGATATACTTTCCTTTTTGAAGTGCCCATATAAGAGTATTAGGGGGCCATTCGCCAAATCCTGATGGTGATGAATTATTGCCCACCACCTTTTACTTCGGGTACCATTTGTAGACTCATTATTATTTGTAGACATCATTTGTAGACATGTTATTTTGAAGCAGGAGATGTGGAGTACCCCTGCCAGGACTCGAACCTGAACCTCTCGAATACCCGCCGAGTGTGCTACACGAATGCATGCCGAAAGGAGGGAGAAAATACCTCATGCTTATGCATGTTGAGGAATAGTGACGTATTCCTATTTTTTGTAACATGATGTATATGTTTGGTTTGCTCTTGTGAAGTATTTCCCATCCAGATAAGTAAACCAAAGCATAAAAATTTCCAATAGTATTTGGGCATTTCATTTATGTGTAGCTTCTATAGGCTGATTTTTTCCCCTTATATTTGTTAAAAAGGAACGTCTTTCAACTTTGAATTCTCAATATTTTTCAATATATGTGTCTGCTCATCTGAAAAGACAGTGATAATAAGGTTAACCATTCTGTAGATATGTAAATAAGATTATTTGAAAAATTGTCTTAAAAATTTTAAATTTTGTGTTTTCTTGATGATAAATACAAATGATGCAGTGCAAGATTATTAAAATATTTTATTGAATCACATAAACACCATTTTGTTCTAGGATATTTTGCCATATTTCTGGCACTGGAAAATTTCCTTTTAAAAAGTCATTAGGTTTATTAGTAAAAACATCATCGATGTGCTTTTTCACTGTCTGCAAAGAAGTGAACTCCAGGCTGTTCAGATGGTTTGAAGGGACTTGAAGAAGTGAAAATTCTAAAGGTCTAGATCTGGTGAATACGGAGGGTAACATGATACATCCCAGCCATGTTAAATACGTCTGTCTGACATTCATGAAAATGTGTTGAAAATTTGTTGAGCATTGTCTTGATGGAAAGGAACATCCCAACAAGTGGTCAGTTCTCAGTGCTTTAAAACTACTTCTGCTTTTAAACTCCTGCTTTTAAAACTACCATTTGGAAGCAGCATTTTTAAAAATTTATTTACTGATTTAGTGGCAACAGCTCTACAAATTCCTTTGTAGTCCCACCATTCACAAAGCAGGGATGCAGCTCCCTCTCAGTGTTATTAAAGGAGGTTCATTCGGCTTAATTTATTATTTTTTCTTGTATCATCATTGTGTAGTATCCACTACAGTAATAAGTCGTTTAAAAAAAGAGCTTCTTAATTTCTTTCCAGCAACGAATCACTTGCCGAAACTCAGCCAAGCATATTCTGCTTTGCTAAAGTAATGGGTACCCATACATCGTAGTGGGTAAATAATCTTCTTCATATATTTCTGTATTGTACTTTTTGGAATATTTATTCTGTCAGAAGTTTCTGAACTGTATAACATAGTTTTCCAGAGACAGGGTCTTTTAATATATCCTTATTTACAAAGGATGGTCATATAGAGTGGACATATCTTATCTTCAAGGCTGAAATCTTCGCCCTTCTCAAATCACCTTTAAACTGGATCATGAAACAACACTTTGTCAATTACACTGTATAAATTTTATGAACAGTCTGACTAGCATTTTTATCTTTTTTATTTTAAGTGAAAGAATGTAATATGACAAAAATGAATTTTTGGGTTCTCAGTAACACTGCATTGAAACAAAAACTGCATCAAGACATAACTAGAATTATGCAAAACCATGTGCGGAAAAACATCTCCTTTGATCAAGGTCACTCCTTTTCAGCAGTAATAAAATAATGAGAGGAAAACGCACTTCAGTTTGAGAAACAGCAGAACTTTCCAAATGACCCGATATTAAGGAATGGAGCAATATGTTTTGATTTTCTAGAATTTTATAATGCTTTCCTTACATCTAGATGATCGACTCTTGGAACAAAATATGAAATAACAAATAGATACACCCATAATTTTCAAGCATTTATTCTTGTGTAAGCTTTAATCACTTATATTGTATTTATTAATTTTGTTTAGTAAGTGTTCGTTTATACTTTTATAACATTTCATGCAAAAGAAGTACAGTACTGTTTTTAGGAAAGAGAACATCTGGAAGGAATGGAAGTACAGATTTTATTTTATAAGATGCATAAAGTGAGCAATGCAGAACAAGTGATAAGCTTTCTAAAACAATGCACCTTATTTACATTAATGCGTTCTGACTTGTATCACTTGCTTTACACTTTGTGGCCCTGAATTAAAGTTTTAATGGTTTCTTTTGTAATAGCCATCCAAGCTGCATTAATTTAATTCATATCAAAAGCTCACTATCATTTGACTGAGGATTATTATTAGCACATCTTCCCTTTGATCATATCCCCATATTTTCCGGGGCAGATAATTTTAGGTGATATAAGGAGTCAGTTAAGAAGTACGAGTTTGTTATCTCTTCTGAAGGCTCTCTTTCTACTGCTATATGAAGACTGGTATTGTCCTGTTGAAGGAAACAAAGTAAATGTATGAAAATGACTGGTAGTAAAATATAACTGACATATCGAGCACTTATTATGATCTTATTATAAGCCTTGGTCTCTTATGAGAGGGATTTACTGTTAAATCTAGTATCATCCCTTGTCAGAATTCTTCTAGGTATGTTATGCGTGGTAAGAATAGTTTTTTCAGCAGCATATCCTCGCTATATATGCAACCATAATTTTCCCCTAACAAAACTGTAAGTTGCTATGAAGTAATAATAATAAAACTGTAAGTTGCTATAACAAAACTGTAAGACAAAGTCATGGCACTCATTTTGCCACATGTAACATTCATCGCGCCATTGCATTCTGGTTGTGATGATGCAGAATGGTTAATCATAAGCGTCCTGATGAGATGATGGGTATCTCCATATAATCTCCAAAACCTTCTTTTCATGTTCTTTGCATTTCTTTAAACCAGTTTGTATATACTCTTCAACCACAGAAAAACTCTCCACTATTTTGCCTAGTAATACAATAAAAAGAAGAAATGAATTCTCTTATGCCTATAATGCAACCTCTGTCAAAGCTGCTGACGTAATCATACGGTTATCTATAACAGGTATCACATCTACAAGCTACTCTCAACAACGCGTTGAAAGAGACATTTCCCGGAATTTTAGTTTTCGGTATATCTCGTTGATTTATGTAAAAACCAGTTTTTTTTAGGAAATCCTACGAGGGAAAAAGCTTCAAACAAAACATTTTCGATTCAGTTATAAATTGTCCCATGTAGATATCCAGGACATCGGTTCCAATGAAAAATGTCTCAGCTAGGAACCTTCTAATGGTAGAAGCTCCCGTCTCTGAAAACTGGCCTCACATGTCATCATATGTAATAATCATATTATATAGCATAGATGTAGAGTTATCTGTTGCTGAATGCAGATTAAATCCTATTTAACCATGACACGCTTATTAAAGAATCAAGGCTAATTTTAATGAGTACATTTTAAGCTGCCATTTGCATAGCTCTAAAATTTATGAACCATTTGTTCTGTATTGCTTATTTTAATATCCTGAAAAAAATTGTAATTGTATTACTAATAAGTGTTCTATTTTTTAAGATCAGTCAGTAGTGTATATTCTTATTTTCAATACAAACTAAATTAACAAGATTAAAAAAACAAAGAAAGAAAATCTCTGTGATTTAAAAAATGCGGTCAGAGTTCATTGAAGTTCCGAAAATCATCTTAATGTCGGAATATACTTCATTTTGCATTCATGCTGCGTAAACGATGTATGTTTCATGTGACTATTAGTATGCTGATTGTGGATTAACTGTAGGTGCTCATGACATACAGTGAAAAAATGAGCATAATAATAATAAATCTTACAACCGCTATACGTACCAAATTGAAAATAAGTTCACGTTTTTGAGAATTGCTCAAAACTGTAGTTTGAATACTAAATGTAGATTAATTGTAATAAGATTTTGCTTATATTTAAGCATATATAAGTAACTAATGAGCGATGGCTATCCGAAGTAAGACAAACATGTCTTTAATTCAAAGTGTAGATTACAAATTCGGTGAAGCATTGAGGAAATAGTTTACATACGTATAAAATTATTTTCGTTAATTAGAATATTGCATATTGCATAAATATGTAAGTATCGAACTGAAACTACTATTAAATGATTCTGCTTATTGAAAAAGCATTAAAAATTCTAACTGGAAACTTAATGTAGTAAATTAACAGTATGAAATAGGCAAATCTATTTTTTTAAGATCAGTTATATAGTATTCTTTTGCAACTTTCTGAAATTTCACAAATGCTGCCAAATACCGCCGTAAGCTCACCTTTAGCATTCAAACATTTCATATTTAGAAAGCTGATGGATTACGTAAAAGGATTTAGCAGCTGATTTTAACTGACACTGCTGCTTTTGAATTCACAGAAACAGCTGTATATTTTTCCCAGATCATTCTCTGGAGTTCAAGAACAGAGCAGACTACGTTAGTCTTCCATGAAGGCTCTATTTCTAGGTTAAATAGTTCTTGTTTGTTTTGACCTGTGTTATGAATTTGTAATCTGATTATTTTGCACTTAAATGTTTCTCTTTCAGCAAGCATAATTTTTAATATTTTCTTTTGTCTTCTGCAAGTATTACAGCTTCAAAACAGTATATTTCTTCTGAAGTTGCTTTGAATTTATAGATCTTTCTCACCGTAGGAAATTGCATCAAATGCTATATCTGTAGTTATTCACCAGATGACAGAAATAACAGAACTGACAAATGCTCGGAAGATAAATTCCAGCATCAGAATGCGTACAATGATGAGTGCGAATACGCCTGTGAATCTGTTGTTCGATATGATGCAAATGGTAAGATATTTTTAATTTTGAAAGTACTGTAAATTTATTTGATTTCTTTCTTAGTAATTATCGTGTAGCATCTGTTATAATTTTATTTTCTGCATTTCAGTATATGTTTAGAAAGATGTTTATTACAGAAGGAATGCAGTATATCCCTGTCTTCTTCTTCCCTCGACACAATAGTCAACACATCTTCATATCTTTCATATCTATTTATACATACACAACTGGACATTGAATCACTAAACTACACTACTATAAATTGAATTGTGTACATTAATTATCTTAGTAACATGACAATTTTGTTTTTACTATTGGCTTCTATGAACCCTCTTCTATTCTGACCTCACTTCAGATCTCTTACTTAAAAACTGAACTTCTGACGCTTCTCAGACAGAGAGCTTAGTAACCCTTACGCATTTTGTTAGTTGACGTCACCATTGTATCACAGCTATATCTTTAGTTATTGATTAGATGATAGAAATAATATAACTCACAAATGCTCGGAAATATCAGAATGTATACAGTGATAAATGCGAATAAACAGACCTCAGTTTTGCGACATACCTCATTTTTGTTGATATTGATTTATGATTTTAATGTGCTGCAGCATAAAACCAGTTTCAAACTTTCTAGCTTCCCTCAGCTGTGCGTTGGAAGAAATATTTTCAGGAATCTTCACTTTCAGTAATCCTCATTGGTTGACGTCATGCGAAGACCTCCCAGAAGTACATCCTTTCTGTCCTACACGAAAATTTTCCCCAGCCTTCTAAAATACCTTACCAGTTCAAATAAGTACTGGAAGAAACGCTTTTCTTGGAAAAATTTCTTACAGGATTGGATGTCGCTACATGTGATAATTCCATAAGAAAGGAGAGAATAACCAAACATTTTCATCTATTGAAACAGTAGATTGAGACTGTTAGGTTAATACATGTTTTAATGTGATGAAAAAGCATGCAAACTGTTAAATTACTCGAGTAATCTCAGAACATAAAATCCTGAATAAATCAGCTCTAATATGGTGACCAGAATGATTGCAATATCAGTTGCTTACATTTTTAATTGTCTGTATTTATTAAGCACATTATCTTTCAGTCATTCCTTTTCATTAATTAAAGTAGTTTTTAATTGTAAATATACTACCACTATATTTGATGCCTCAGTTGTCATCACAGTAAGCTATTTATTTGATGCCATGATAATCACATTTAATATTTATTAAGTACTGCTTTCTAATGGCAAAGAAAAATTTCATATAAAAATATATTTTCATATATTACATGAAAAACTGATAGATGTTAGTTGTTGTTACATAATTTTACTTTCTTAGAGATGTTAATAAAAAAAAGCATCATTCTTATAAAAAAAATAAAAATATTTTTAATTTTAGAATCTTAATGAAGGGAAAAGTTTTATTCAGGGATTTCAACTTGCTTTTGTACTTTGTCAGTGCAGGTAATTAAAAACGTGGTAAAATTTGAATGTTATTTTCAAGCCTAAATTATCCTAAAAACAACTAATATGCTCATTGGATAAAAGTGTTTTCTATAATACAGTTTTTTTATATATTAACGTTTCACTTAATATTACTTCCTTAAAGGATAAAGCTTAATCACAGTCCTTCAGTTTATGTACGTATTTACACTGTGGTCAATTATACAAGCCTTTCTGTTTTATAAAGCATTTTTATTTGCTGCAGAAATCATTAAAAAAAGACAGAAATGAGACTAGTCTATATTGTTGAAAGTATGCGTAGTGTCTTCGGACACTGGTTGTATGCAGTAGCTATCAATGAGCAAAAATAGATTCAAAATTTCAATTCTTAACCTTTTGAAAGTAAGTGGGAGAAGATGTTCCCACATAAGGATAAACAATGATCCATTTTCTTTCACAACAGTATAGGGGGGAAAACAGGGAACAAGCACTAATAAAATTTACAGCTGCTTATATCTATAAAAGAACCTCTTTAGTACGAGGCAGGTTATGTTTCCTTTGATAGTGTTTGGTGGTAAGCTCTATTTTTTCATCGTAGAGGTGAAGAATCGCAGTTCATTCCTATTCTTTTGGTTGAGCAGATATATTATGATTCAGTGAGCTGCGTGATCAAAAACAAATCCAGTTACTTTCTATGAAAGTTCAAAATGCAGTCTTGGGAAAGGTATCTAGAACATATCTGTATATATCTTTTTTACTTTATCACCGAACGAAACCTACAAGACATCACTATCTACACAGACAGCATGTCGGTACTTCTGTCCGTACTCAACCATCAACACGCATTCCCTGTAATTACACAAATCCAGAGAGGCTTATTTAGGCATCAACATCATAACATCACTCTCTCATGGGGGAATATGTGCATGCTGGTGTGAGTGGAAACGAAATTACTGACAAATTAGCCAAGGAGGCAACATCAGGAAATATTCATTATCCACAATCAGCGTTTTTGACCACACTCATAATTGAAAAAACAACTAAAACGCAAGGCACAAATCCAATGGCAAATAGAGTGGTATGAATGTAAATAAGGCCGTCGCATATACTACTACATCACGCAAGTAGATGACAAACGCAACATCACTTCCCCGCAGTTAAAAAGATTTATTACACAACACGTTCCTTTTCCCGAATATTTTAATAGGCACAAACACCGATCTCTTTGTCTATACAGAAATTGGTATCCCAGACCATTATGTTACCATCTGTTCCTAAAACCCCAGTAGCAATGCACAAGCCTTCTGCAAGTTTATGGTAAAATAATGTCATATGGTGCAAGCACTGCCCATATTATTGACAAACTTGCAAAACTCGAAGCCTCGTTATTATAATATATTAATATTCACTCAGTTTGTTTCGAGAAATTTAACTCTTTATACAACTTCTGTATTTAGATGTCTCGTAATATACATTCGTAAATTTCTGTAAAGTTTGTAAAATGTTGTCTTTTCAAAGTGTATTTGTAATGTGTGCTATTGTAAATATATGTTCTGCTGTAAAGTAATTTGAGCATCTAAAATAATGTAATAATTATGTCCTGAGCCACAACGGCAATAGTATCTTACAGTGTTATTTGATGTATCTCCTAATGCTAGTTGTTAGTTGTTTCATGCACTGGAGTTCTTATGAATTTTAAGTCAGAGCAATATGATCAGCTTCTGTAGAAAATAAAGCAAAGCATCTCTTTCTTGCTCGCCCGTGGCACTCTATTGTAACCCTGATGGAAGATTTTCTGTCAGAACTGTCTTTGGCTTGATGACCGTCATTGTTTGCTTTGATGATAGCTTCACTGTTTTGTTTCAAGCGTAATTTTCAAATGAATGTAGCTTTTGAATGCTGAATAACTTTACTTACACATACCAGTTGGATATCGGTGGCTTTCCCATTTTTCTGCTAAGTATTCCAACAAAATATGTTATGTAGGATCTACGAAAGTGCTCCTACTGCTTTCCTGTACTTCTAATTATCAGGAAAATTGATTTCTTGTTCGTTTTCGTTTTCATAAATTTCATACTCACGGATGGATTCTTTTATAATTCACCATTATTATTTTATTCATTATTAATCTTGTACAGCTTAACAAATTTTAAATTTTCATCCTTTTCTTTTTTGATTTCATTTTCTAAATACATAAATGTTTTTCGAAGATTCTGAATGTAAAAATATTCTTTGCATATTTGTTTAACTTTTCGAATTGATTCATGTGTATCACTCTTGACTAATATGTCATCATATATATTTATATGAGTTCTTGTATTTTGTGTAATGATAAGGAGCGAGGATCAGCGTTTCCTTGGATGTATCCTTTCCATGCATAGACTTTCAGCTATTTTGTGATTCCAGTTTCTGGCTGCCAGCTTTAATCCATAAATATTTTTATTTAGTTTACAGGCTTTGATTTCTTCTCCTGGTGGAACTTAAACTTTTGATTGATTTATATATATATCTTCTTTCAGATCTCCACGTAGGAATGCTATTTTTATATCAATAAAGATTTGCATGTATATTTTTTATATTTTTCTGAGTTGCCTTCGATAGGATTATTCTTATTATCTTGTATTTTGTGACTGAAGTTAGTATTTAATCGTGGCCAAGCCCAAATTTTTGGCAATATTCTTTAGCTATCTGACGAGTTTTATATTTGACGATATTTTTTGTCATATCATGATTTGTTCTGGAAGTCCATTTATTTCCTGTTGCTGATATGTCTGTTGCTGCAACATTCTTCCTAGAAGAAACTTATCTTGTTCCAGTGTTTTACTGTTCTTTGCGAAATCCATTTCTTTTTGGAGGGATTTCAACCATGTGTCTTTTTCTTTCGTTGGAAAAGTTTGCTCTTTTCTTTTCTAGTCTTTAGGAATTTTAATTTCGTCATTCCTTGCCGTACATGAGGATATATTTGTTGAGATTATTTTGGTTGTTCTGTGGGATATTCTCAGCAATTGTAAAGTTTCGTCATTTCTAATTACATTCCTCTTTCTGCTGTATCTGGACATGGTTCTGTAGATTTATAAGATATCCCCCCCAATCCATCATGCCTTCGTGGTGTAACGGTAGAATACTCGGTGCGTATTCGAGGGGTTAAGGTTTGAGTTCCGGCGAGAGCATTGCACATTTTTCACGTCACCTGCTTCAAAAAAATCGTAATGACTCTGAAGTGGTGGTTGAACTAAGAGGTGTTGGATAATAATTCGTCATCACCAGGATTTGGCGTTGGGTCCCCTAACTCCCCAGTCGCACTTCAAATAAGGGAGCATATAAGGTTTTTTTCTCCCTCCTTCCACAATGCCTTCGTGGTGTAACAGTAGCACACTCGAGGCGTATTCGAGAGGTGAAGGTTCGAGTCTTGGCGAGGGCATTTCACATCTATCTGCTTCAAAATAACCTATTGACTTTGCAGATTTATTTTCTTTAAAAGTCCATTGTATTTCTTTATTTTGGTTGTTTATTTGTTGAAATTTATTTTTTATATTCTTTTGATGACGATGTTGTTTGTTGTCATATAGATTCTATATCCTTTAGTACAATCACTCTATTCCTAGTGTGACCTTTATCCTGTTAGTAGAAAACTATCTATAGAGCATTTGTCTTTCTGCTTTTTCATCCAGATTTATTCTTTTCTGCTTTAGTGTGCTGATAAAAATTTTGATATGTCTTAAATGTGGCTTTTAGTCATTTCGCAACGTATAGGGTATTTTTTATTGATCTAGATAGTAGTCTCTTTTCCAGATCAGCTGCTGTCATTATCTTTCTTCCAGAATTTGGTTTTGAGTTCAGAATTGAGTAATAGCTATCCTGTCATTTTTGTTATGTATCCATTTTTTTTTCTTTCTGCTTGCTGACTGTGGTGTGATGTTCGATTCCCTCTTCTTTTAGATATTCTTCAGTCTCTTTGTGTATTCTCATCCATTCTCTGTCCTTAAGAATTTTGGCTTCTTTCTTTGTCATGGTTACAGATTGTTTTAGCTTCATCTTCTATATCTAGCAAATAGACTGTTCTGTATCTCAAATAATCATCAATAAATATTATGAAGTACTTCTTTCCGCCTAATAATATCATACTAGTCGGTCCACAAATGTATTAAATCCAGACCTGAGTTTGCTCTCTATTTGTTTCGTTTGGGGTTCTGTAAGATAGTTTACTTCTAATGCACCATTCATATTAGTTGTTCCTTCTGATTTTTCCCACTGATCTGTATCATTACTCTCAAGGTTTTTGATAGGTTCATAATCTCTATGTTCTAGATTTCGGTGCCAAAGATCTATACTGTTTTTGTTTCTTTCAGTAATTGTAGTTTCAGCTTTTTCTTCTTGTGATTCGATTATTTTATTTAAAATTCTTTTCTTTTCTTCTTTTCTCTTTTTTTCTCCAACTGCTTTCTACAAATCGAACGTTTGCGATTTTTCATACGGATATTAATCCTTCTTCAAGATCTGGGGCATATGAAACATGTCTGAATTTAATTTCTATTTGATTACTTTTGTCTTCTATGTAGTATAAGTAATCTTCTCTTATGTCCTTGGATTTTATTTGAGTTATATAAGCAATTGTTATTTGCCCGAATTTGCTTCTGCCTGATTTCGTGAAAAGTCGGTCATATGGCAGGTAGCTCCTGAATCAACTAACTGATTTGTGTTTTGGAATTTGTTTTAGTAACTTCAAAGGTACAATTCAGTTTTTCTGATTTGCTCTTAGTTATCTTCTACGAATAAACTTATTATAGCTTGTGCTTATTCGTGTCATTTTATCCACTCGGCAATGATTTTGATTTGCATATCATTAGAGATTAAGTCCCCCAAATTTTCCGTTTTTTAAATAGTTTCTAAATTTGTAGTTGTTATTGCTTAGATTCGTGATTAGTACTTATTTTCATGGTTTGCAACCATTTTTACTTTCAATTTAAAGTGCACATTATATAAACTAGGTCAGTTTGGTTTTGCCCTCTAAAGTAAGATTAGCTATCCTTTATCGATCATTTAAGGGTTATAATAACATATAACTAAAAACAGAGTTTTTCTTTAATTTTATTTGTAATTGCTTGTGCTGACAATTTTTATGTATTTGTAATTGCTTGTGCTGACAATTTTTATGTATTTGTAATTGCTTGTGCTGACAACTTTTACGTATTTGTAATTGCTTGTGCTTACAATTTTTATGTGTTCAGGTAATGTAAACAACATTTCAGTCTGATAGTCAATGTTGAAATCGTACTTAGTTATGTTTGAGTTGAGATGTTGGCCTAGCACTGTAGACGAAAACTGATTCAAAATTAAAACTTTTACTTTCGAAATTAATTTGGGGAAGATGAATCCATGCACGAATAAAGAGGTATCCATTTCATTTCGCAGCAATGGAAGAAAGAAAACATAAACAAGCCCTAATTATATTCACATGTATTATATTCATACAGCTGCTCTCATAAGCAAGCGAGTACTCCCCTCCTCGAATGGCTGTTTTTGCATCATAGGGGTTAACGAGTCATAGTTTATCGTTATTGATTTAGATGATTAGTTCTACGTGTAACGTGTATTCTATATACCTTTTTTTATTATCTTCTATATACACCAATGCATATTTGTGCATATAATTAAATTTTCTTTTTGTGTAGATGAGCTGGAGCAATGGTGGAGAAATTGTCTTCATCATGGTCAAAAGCTGACAAATGATTGCCAGACTGAACAGTCTGCAGGCTGGAGGCTTGTTCGTTGTACTTGCGATAAAGATTTATGCAATGATTCAGTTGTGCTTCAATCAAGTGCTGTACCCATTGCTGTTTTTATGGTCGTGATGTTATGGAAATGGTACACAAGGTTATAGTGATTTCATTTTAGAAGATATTTGGGTATCAGTACTTTCATCAAAAGCATAATGATGCTGTTACATTTAACTTTTTCAAACAGAATTATTATTTCAATTGTTAAGGTAAATATAAGGGTTTTTATAAGAAGTCAATTGTTAAAAGTGGTAAAATTATTAGAATTGTGTGACGTGCATAACTTTTTACACTAATTTTTTCTTGAGCAATATATCATTCTCTACTAGCTGTTAACAATCACTAGTTAGATAAATTTTAGATGGAGCACAGTTTTCTAAGAAGGAAAGTTTTGTATTTATTCTAATGATTTTTCATTTTATTCTTATGGGGAATATTTTCATCATATCTTGAAGTAAATTGTAGGAATGTAGAGTTTCTAGTCACTCCCAATGAAGAATGTTTGTGCTTTTGATTCACACATGTTTTTCTATGTATATTAGGTAATTATTATTTTAAACTACTTCCAGTGCTATAACTTAAATTTCTGCAACATCCCAGTCTAATGTATGTTAGAGTTTGGAAGCAGTATGAGACAAAAATAATTATTTTGGTTATTTCTTAAATTACCAAAATTTTTAATAAGAAGAATGGTTTACATGTAATGTAGAAACATATATATTTCTCAGTCGATCAACCAGTACTTATTTCAAATCATAGTGCTTTGAACTTCAGCAACGCACATATAGAATGATCTGCTATGCGTGTTATTGTTGTACTGTCTGTGCATGTATACTACTTATATGTGATATGTATGATCATAGGATGACGTGTGAACTTACATGTGTCCTCTGCACAGCAATTTGTAAACTGTATTGCTTTGCAATGTGTTGCCGGAAGGCAACAGCTTATACTTTGGGAACAATCCCTCTCTGTTGTTTAAATTCAATACCCAGAATAATCATTTGTAAAATATTTATCAAAGGGCTTGAATTTTTACTGTAAATGTTATTTATTGAGCATTGTGAAATGCTGAATATATTTTTATGCTATAGCTTCAGCTAGCATTTTTAAAGCACAGTCAGCATCTGTATTTCAAGTAGGCTGAAATATATACGCAGTGAAAATTAATGTAAAGAAATTATATGCATGAAAATTGTTCCCTTCAAAGAAAGATTTTCATCATTTTATGTTAAGAATGAAATTTTTTGTTAATTGATCTCTTATATCCACATTAGATTTAAAATCTCCATTATGGATGTGACATTTGTTATATTTTAGTGTGTTTTAAAGGTTGAAGAATTTATACCATCTTTATCATGCATTTATCAAAAGTGTTTATTGAAACATTAAAACTAATTTAAAAATATATTGAAATTCATAAAATGTATTTTTGACAACTCTAAGAAACAGTATAAATTTGTACAACTTTTTATGCGCGAATGGTCCAACTTGGCAAATGCTTATATATTTCTTTTTGTCAATATTGCTATTGTTAAGCAGTGTATTGAATTATGGCCTTAATGAGAATATACTGCGCTTTGTAAAAGCAAAATATTATTCACCAAACTGTTGAATGTTATACTTCCTTATTTCCATTTCTTGTACGCATGATGGAAGTAAATTTGATGTGTAATAATGTGCAGCTTTCATTGTATAGCAAATAAAGTTATCCTTTCGATTTTCAAGCATCATTTATTTCTGAATGCTTTGAAATCTCCAAAATTTCGTTTGTGTCTTTGAAAAAGTAATTAAAAAATATTGTTATTATAAATACTCTGGGTGAATAGATTATATAAGATAACAAGTTCTCAAAGTGCCATTCGCTAAGGCCGTGGTACCATGGTTTGGGTGGTTAATGAAATGAAAGTAAACGCTCAAGAGTTGTTTGTCTCCTCAAAGGAATTTATTTTTCAAAGACTTTCGGAGGGGAAAAAAAGTTTCATACTTATCATTGATGCCGCAGCTCACATGTAGAAAGGGAATATGTTATAGCAGCATGGGAGACATTTGCATCAGTTAACACACGTTTTCTGTTTTTCTCATGCATTCCTCCATACATGTTATTACATTAGAAAAAGCTAATGGCAATTCTGAAGCTGAGCATATGAGTTCAACCATTGCCTTCGTAAGAGAAAGATTTTTGGCATAAGATTAAGATGACATAAGACATAAGAATTTTGTTCCTTGATGTGAAACTTTAACGCTATTTTAATCTGGCCGATATATCTCAAATCACACTGACAAGATATGCTATTAATTCCCCCAAAAATAAAGTCAGAAACGGGATTTTTGGAAATCGAACCATAATTTTATTGATAGGCGAGAAAATGACTTGAAATTTACACTTCTGGAGAATTCGTGCAATTTTATTACTGAAAGAAGGATGGAACGGAAGCACAACATGGTTATTAATGTTATTTCTAATAGCGAAATGTCTTCTTTGATGGCAAGATGAAAATTGTCTATTGAAAATTGTCACTGACCACGGAAGAAAAGCCTCATCGACGGCAACTGATTTCAAATAATTGAGTTCATTAGCAAGCAAAGTTTCAGATTAACAAACTTTGAGAACGCAAAATGCATTAAAGACAAGCCTTCTTTATTTTTGAATTAAAAACAAGCCATTTATTTGCTTGGTTGGGTGACATGTGTTAGCATGTGGAGGCGAACAAATAGAAAAGGGTCAACGATAATCATTGGTGCTGAAATCAGATTCACTGCGGATTATAAGAATATCAAAGAAGGGAAAGGTATTGTCAGATTCATTTCCAAAGGGGAACTGGATGGCTGAATCAACTGAATTTATAACAAATAAAATCTGGGACACATCTTCTTTATTACCCTCAAAAAGCGCGAAAGTGTTATCTACGTAGCGAATTCAGAGATGAAAGGAAAGTTTCTCAAATAGTTTTTGACCTCAGAATAGTGCATGTAAATGTCAACAAGTACAAGATTGAGAAGATTACCGCAGTTAATCCTTCAATCTGGCAAAAATATTCTTTTTATGAATGTAATATTCATATAGTATTGAATGAATACGATTATTCAGGAAATTCTGCGGGGCTCGTACCTGTCTCTGATCCTCTCCTGGCTTCTTCCGTTTCTTGATTCGGTCTTTGATTCCCGACCTAGTTTGTTTAACCTTCAGTGTATTCTGGTGGTGTCTTCCTTGGGAGGTTCCTATGTGGCTCGTGATCTGAACCGTCTGGTCTGTCCATCTATGCTTTTTGAACGCCGGTACCTTTAACTTTCCCTTTATATTATTTCCTCGTGGGGCGGCCTTTTGTAAGGTAACTTTCTCATTAACTGAAAAGTCCGTTGTACCCGTCAATTCAAGTTTCCTGCTGATATAGTTTACAGAATCTTTTTTCTTTTCTTCGTCCGTTAAACTGCCTTTGTTCCTTACTCAGATCGTAGTAACATTTGAGTTATTCTTGAACCTTTGGCCCGTACCTTGTTCTTTTCTTAAATCTTGACCCCTCCCAATCCTCTGTAGCTTTCCTTTTCGATGCATTATCCAAGCTGGGGCGTTCCATTCCCATATTCCTTTCTTTACTTTACATTGCTTACTCCTGCGACGTCGACGTGGACACCGCTGCTGAATCAAACGACGTTTCAGATGGGTCTGTGCTGCCCATACTAAGAATTCCCTCTAATAAAGCTTTTATAAGCGGCATGTCAGCCCGCTCGAAATATTTATTCACTTGGCTGATATTCGCTCACATAGATTCGCTATTCTTTTCTTTTAAAAACAATTTTAAAACCGTATCTCCCACCTTAAAGTCGATCTGACACATTCTCTTATTGTATGTTTCATAGACTATTATATTGTATTGCATTTTCGACTGACTGTACTATTTTTAATTTCATAATTTACTTTATTCTAATTCTTTTGTTACTCGGGATCTGCGTATTTGTGTTGTTGCTCTTGGCTCATTATTACCCGAGATTTGATGGGCGCGGCTGAGTCGCTGGATGTCCTCGTTTGTGGTTAGTATCAGCCGAGCTGTTATGTCACAAAACCGTCTTAATGACGGTTAGGTGGGCAGAGTTCTGTCCGACAACTATTACCTTCTCTTATCAGAGTAACATTTTTGCTTTTTTCTGGCTTTGAGTTATACTTTGTCTCATCTACCAGGTCCTGAATGTCTGCCATCTTAAATTCTTCCAACCTTTTACGAACAAAAGAGTTTGTCGAGGGGCTTTCCTCCAAGAAATAGTACAACGGGCGTTTAAATACCAGTGGTTTCACGTCTAACGGATCTTAATGCATCATTAACAGGGCTATCTTAGCGTAGGAGGCAATTTCTTACATAAACTGTGTATAATTTTTATTATGTTTCTATTTACCGGCTCTGCCATGCGATCGCTAAGTGACCATTTTAAATTGCTTTATATCAAGATCCGAATATACCGTATTTGACGGCATATAAGACGCACTCTAATTTAGAAGGCCACACACAAGGGGAAAAAGTTTCAATAGTCCGCGCGATAGCGCGGTACCACACTAACTTTAAATGTGGTTTCTTTGAGTTCTCACGTTTCGTAAAAGCCAAATAAACAATCATTGAATGCAATTACCAAACATATTTTTATTAAGGAAAATTAACAAACGGCAAGCTATTTTGAACATGATATGTAAATTTCAATAATGAATAAATGAATGAACGGCAAGCAATCAAACATAATACAAAATAAAGCAGAAACAACAAAAAACACAGATTCAAGGAAAACGTTGCCTATCATGAAATTAGACTAGTAATCACTTTGAAAATAATAAAAATCCTTTTCACTATCATCATCATCGAAAACGAGAATATCGTCATCACTACTGTTTCCGTCATCGCTAGTATCACCTTCTTCGAGAGGATTTTCTTAAGAGTCCACCAGGTCGCCTCGCCCGTACGTTCTGTAACCACAGTTTCATTCCAGCTTCGTCCATCCAGCCTTTCGGCAAAAATTTAGTTAAACCTGATAAAATAATTATGGCAGAGGTAGAAAAAGTTATGTGTGTCTAGACCTTTATCCGGGCTAAAAATAGCATTCAGTATTAAAAGTTAACCTGTGTCCTTCACGTATAAGACGCAGGTAACTTTTTTGAGATCAATTTTAGGGAAAAAAGTGCGTCTTATATGCCGTCAAATACGGTATTTCCTCAAACGTTTGACAAACTGCGAACCATTATCTGCGATTACTTTTATTAGAGCGCCTTACTTTAATGTAATTTTATTTAAAAACGAATCTGCAACAATTTTTCGCCGCCGACTGTCTTCTGACGGGAATTATTCCTAACCACTTCGAAAAATGATCAGCAATCGCAAGCAAATTTCAGTTTTTTCTCACTAGGTGGTTAACGGCTTAACTGATCAATTCCTACGATTTCATTAGGGAATATGGCCTTTATTTTACTTAGGTATCTTACCAGGCTATACTTAGTATTGTTATTTAATTGTTAAAAGCTACAGGACCTCACATATTCAATTACAAATATTTGTAGCAGTGGAAAATATAAAGCTTCCCTTACTTTCTGAAGTGTTTTTCTTATCCCGAAATGGCCTGACAAAGGCGCGTAATACAGCTCCTGTAAAATGCTTAAACTCGCTAGGCTAACCGGTGGTAATTCATTCCTCTATAATAAAATAGAAGGTTGTAAACGATTTCATAGTTGGCGACGCTGTTTCTAATTCCTCTATATCATGATGTTCAAAGTGATTGGTATCCTTCAAATAAGCATATTTTTTTTTTAATTCTGGGTCTTTTCTTAGTTCTAAAATAATTATTTCTAATGAATCTAAAATTTTTAAAGTTGGCATAGACCATTTTTAATTTTCCCCCTCGTGATCTAGCTTAATTTCTGATAGAGCATCTTCCACAGTATTTTCTGTCTCCAGGGTATGTTTAAGTTCTAATTGTGTTCTTGTAATTTAAGAGCTCATCTTATGAGTTTGGGCGACAAATTTTTCCCAGAGTACAGAAGTACGATGGCGGCTTGGTCCGTATATAAGGTAGCAGTTTCCTTGCCAAAAGTAACTCGTAATATCTGAACGGTCGTGTTTCTCTTTCTGTAGCGGCATAATTTCTTTGAGTTAGATCAAGTATTTTATTAAGATATTATGCCGGATGTCCATCTTGCGTAAGCACGGCTCCTACCGCGAAATCAGATGCATCTGCTGTGATTTTTAACTTTCTAACTTCAAGAAATTCAATAGAGATTAAAAGAGCTTTAAATTTTACAAAAGCCATGTTTCCTTCTACCGACCGAGTGAATGTGGTCGTTTCCTTTTTAAATTTAATAAGGGCTGTACTATGTAGCAAGATCTTTAATTTCTATAATAGCACGAGCCCCAAACTGATGCGTATTTCTTCGCCATGTTAAATGGCAGGTAATTTTTGATCGCCCAAAATTTTTAATCTTCCGGTTCTATTCCAGGCTCAGATATTTTATCTCGAGGTATCGAAGTTCTTTGGTTGGAAATTACATTTTGCGGAATTCGTGTTTAAATCTGCTTCTTAGAAGAGAAAAACTTCTTGAAAATCCTCGGTATGCTGATCGGTTGTGTTACTTGTGACTATTATATAATCTAGATATATGAATGTTGATTTGCCAAATAAGGGCTTGAAGATTGTGTCCATTGCCCTTTGAATTTACATAAGCTTATTTACTGTTTCAATCGAGTGACTCACC